GCTTTGCAGGTCATTCCGAAGTGCAAACGCGGACTGAAGAAGGACTTCTGGTTTGGTGCAATTACACTATTATTTCATCATTTAAAATAATTTATATTATAAAATATTTTTTTATTAAATATATTATAGACTTTTAAAAAAAATTTAACAGTCATATAATAAATCTAACTAGAATATTTTTACGAATATCTTAATGAAAGTAGAAAGCGGAAGAAATACACTCCACAAGAGTTTTCTCAGAAATTACTGGAAGAAACGATTGTATTGGCACAGCGACGGGTGTGGACGCGAAATCAAATTTCAAAATTTTAAAGTTCATACTAGTAGTGCACGGCTAGTTAAGGCCATAAAAATACTATAAATTACTGAGAACTTTAATGACGTGTCCTTTTCTTTGTCACTGTTCTATGGTATCTGGTACAGCATATGGGTCTAACGTTTTTTAACTTATCCTAACATAAAGCAAACAGTGAAAGGCCGCCCTTATAATTTGAAAAGACTGCCATGTTTCTGTTTATTTGTCAAATCGGACTTCAAATCATATTTTTAAATTTATTTAGTGATAACGAACGATGCAAATTGCACAACTTTTGCCAATTTTTTCAAATTTGTCTACGTGTCAATCTTCAGCGCCCACACACCCAAGGACAATTATTACGTTCGCGGTTGGCGAAAGCTTATCTTTAAGGCAAAACCATAAGTTAAGCCCCTGAACTAACCCTAAAATCTCTATTAAGGCCCTATATTTTAATTGATGCAGTTAAGCCCTTAAACTCCGGGATCAAAGCAATTAAGCCCTTCTTCTTACACTATTAAGCCTCTAGACTTTAATTTTTAAAATAAATTGCTTAAAAAGAAGGGCTTAATTGCTTTGATCCCAGAGTTCAAGGGCTTAACTACATCAATTAAAGTTTACAGGTTTAATAGCGATTTTGGGGTTAGTTCAGGGGTTTAACTTATGGTTTTGCCTATCTATAATGAAACTTGTAAGTGTTTTAAAATTTTTTTGATATTATTAATATTT